CGTGGATGGTCGTGGTTGAGGTCCGGCAGGGAACACTGGGCGTGGATGGTCGTGGTTGAGGTCCGGCGAGGAGGAGAAGAAGAAGGAGGAGGGAGAAGGAGAAGTCAGCTAACATAAAATCTAACAACCCCCACCTGGCAGGTGGGGAAAGAATTGTTGGAAGACTTGTAATGCTGGGTGTCAAACTTTACACACGCTCAACGAACGGTTTCTCCACACATCACCGGAAAAAGCGTTCGTACCGATGGTCCCAGCGTTCTTTGACAACGAAGTGAAGGCCGAGGCTCACCAGCCAGCGCAAGGCGCCATACTTCTTGGCTTGCAAGGCAGCCGGAGGAGCTCCTAAACCTCATCGAAAAGACCGATTCACTAAAAACGCCTGTTCTGAGCAAATCACCCGAACTCGTTCGTTGGCCTGGACTAGAAATATTTGATCTGCCATGGGTGATCTGAATTGAGGAATCTTCTAGTATGGGACCTCTCTACTCTTCATTAGGTTCTTTGCTTGTTATGCTTGCTACATCTTGCTGGTCATGTTGCTCGTTGTTCCCTCACCTCCCTGGGATAGTGCTATGTCGGTTAGGTTGGCTCACTGCCACCCGCCTTCTGTTCCCGCTGCTGGCGAGGTGGCGGAGTAGGTCCTCGATGTTCCTTCTGATCTGATGTCCTTCTTGATGGGTAATCCAACAGGAGCATGGGGGGTTCCTCGAAGTCTTACCCAGTTAACCTGTGTTGCAGAGCGAGCAGCCCTACCTCATCATCAGTCCAGTTGTTTCTTGGAAGCTCGCATGCCCCCATTCCACACCCCTGAACGCTGCAACCAACCTGTCACTGCCAACCAGGTGACAAAGGGCAGTGAGTGCGAAGACTGCTTGCGTGCAAACATTGATCTCCTGGTAGAACTTTCGCAGCGCCTAGCATGGACAAATGCAAGAATCTCCCGGCTCGCCTTTGTCACATACAATGGCGGGCGCCATGCAACTCAGAAGCCTCATCCTGGGCTTCTTTCGCAGTTTCTTGTCAAGGCTCAGGCGCTGGAACCACAAATACCACAAATGAAAGGATGATTTCAGGGAGCGAAACTGCCAAGCTTCCGCTGAAGTGTCCCACATCCAACGCTACATGGGGTCTGATGGACGATGGTTTTTTCCCCTGGTGTGTTGGTTGATGTGTTCAAGGCTTGACAACCTGAACTGTCCCCAACTCTCTTATGGTTTCACGGATTGGTGATGCTGCACTGTTCGCATTCAATTTGACATCCGCTGAACGGCCCTCAGCGCAGTTTAGAATGGCAATGGCTGTGTGCGCACCCCGCCACGAAGAAAACATCTGCCTCGCACACTGCCTTGATCACACCCGACCGCAACAGCGCTCTCTTGTGCCGCGCATCGCCATGAGCCAAATTGCGCAGGACCTGAGGACCATGAAAATTGCGCACCCAGGACCTCATGGTGGGTTGCCCATGTGGAAAGTGATGTTTTTTCCCTTTTGAGGTCTCCAAAGGCACCTACCTTGGAGACATCTCTTTACTTTTGATCGAATGCTTCTCACCCCCTCCAGGCACCCATCCCTCGTCCTGGTGCCACGTCACGCCACAGCCGTGCTCTTGAAGCGGGCTGTGGTGTGTCTTCTGGAAGGTCTGCATGGCAGCCTTGGAGGTTGAAAGGTCGGTCTATGTGACGCCATGCCACCTTTTTTCTTTGTTTAACCTTTTTCTTGGACCTTTGGACCTTTTCTGTATGTTTTTCCTGTTCCCTTTTTGAAAGAGTCTTCGTGGCACTGTCTCTCTAGTTGGCGCAACACGTGCACAGCTCAATTGTCCTGCGACGGCTGGGGTGACCAACTGGAGAACTGCGAACGTCGTCCCCTCGTTGATGTTCAGGCTTTGAGGATCTATACATATATATAATATATATATATATATATGCTTGTGGCATCTTGGGGCCGAATCAACTGACCCAATTCGCCCTGAGATGGCGGCCAACACTTTTCCAAGACCGTCATGGTCCATGAACCTCGGAATGGCTTCCAGAAAGCATGCAAAATAAGAGAGCACAATAGGTCCCTGGTCCCCCAAGACACAGTGAAGACCACTCAAGTCACTTGCAATCTTTCAGATTCTGTTAGCGAGTCGCAATCTCGCAACATCCCTAAGCCTCAAACCGCTGCTGGTTGGCTCTGGAAAAAGTCCTGAGATGGGCAACATGAGTAATCAGTTATATGGCGCCCTTGTGCACCTGTGAGGCAAAAAATCACGTGCATCAAGCTGAGGGTGATCTGCCTGCCTTCTACAAGGTATGACCCATTGCACTGGGGTTAGTGAACGCAGGAAACTTGAAATGACCTATGCATACCTATGTTGCAATTGTGGTATGCTGGGTGAACGCCACCCGCAAGATTCGGATAAAGCTCGCAAAGCAATTTCTGCAAATGGCTCAAGAATGACCTTCATTTCTGTACAACATTGTTCAATTGAAAGGCGAACTGAGAGCTTGCTTGGGGCCATTTAACCAACCCATTCTGAAACTCCACAGAATGAATCGCCAAGGCACATGTTCCACAAGAAGCGCACTGCCTGCAGCTGGAACTCCTGAGGCCCAGCTGCAGCCCAGAAACCACGCTGGGATTGATTCTATTAAGCTACAGCCAAGCCGGGTAGAAAATCTCTTATACTGGAATATACTG